AGACGACATGATGTTTTTTGAATTAATTCATCATTTTGAATTTTCTTCCTTTAATTTATATAAAAAAAAATCCGATTTTGTTTGCTCTTCCTAAAATAAATAGTTCACAAGAGACAATTTACAACAATGTTTGTCAACTTTCATTTTCTCAATATCTTAATTTTTTTAGTCAATAAGGGATAATGATGCTACGGCTTTATAGTTTATTACGAGTAAAACCGAGGGAGAGAACAAAACAAAACAAAACATCTATTTGTCAGCTGTCTATTGGATCCCATTTTCAATTTTCATACATGGCTAAGATATATCCATTCAAAATGAAGGGATAATTTTTCAAATAATCCTTCTTTAAGGCAAGAAATTAGTCATTAAAAGACTATTCTTATATCTACAAATTCTACCCTACTACTTTTTTTTTCTTTGTCTAACCATACCCTTTCTCCATCTTCTCATTAATTTCCAAAACCAAACATGGAATCACTTATATTTATGTCTGAAACCCCAACCTGCTATATCAAATTAAATTGTAGTAGTTTTTCGCTTTACACATTGCACATTCCTCTGGACAAATAGGTGGCTTTGCCTGCAATGTTTTTTCAATTAAATTCATTTTCATGCATGGTCCCCTAATCGAATAATGCAAGCCTTATATCAGAGCTTTAAGAAAGAGGAGAATTTGATTTCTGATCATCCTTGAGGGGGGATAGAGTTTGGGAGACATAGCAATAAATGGTGTAGCATGGGGCTAAGAAGGTAAGCCAAGCCAGAACCATAAGGGGAGCAGAGCTGGTTTTTTCATGCACAAAATCTGACCCACATTGGCTAGGAAACCGACCTGACCCACATTGTATTAAAAGGTGAGGGGGTGGACGAAGACTAAGGAGCTGGTTCTGATGATGATGATAGCAGTCTTAAGGTGAAAAAAGGAGTAAATTCAAAGCTTAACTTTGATGGGGAATATCTGCCTCTCATGCAACTAATAAAGTAAAAGTTCCCCCACCTCTCCAAGCTTATATTCTTTGCTACTCTCCACAAGCAAAGCTAATTTGGAAAAAAATTTCAATTGCAAAAAGATGAAACACAACTTTTGTTTCTTGTGTTAAATTTTCTCTTTTCAGTCATGTTTTCACACAATCACACCAACCCCCTATGCAGTTGCTGTTTTTTCAACGAATTTGGTAAAAACAGAGAAAGGTCGGCAGACTTAGGTTAGGTGCATTTTGGAACTCAACTACAAAGAAAGATGTTTTCCAATAGTTTTTTCCAAACCAATGCCCCATTTTCCAAAGATTAGACCGACTGAAATGAAGTTCTAGCAATTTGTAGCACGTTCAAAAAAGGGCATTCCTGTTTTTGACATAGGGCCCTAATTTTCTCATCAAAATAAGTAGGCTGTAGATTCTTTTGTTAGAATTATATTACACTGCTTTCATGGCAACTTGCTTGATTGCTGACTCTTGTCGGTTCTCAACGATCAACAAGAATTTAACATTGCAAGAAAAATGCTTGTATCACTTGAAAATCCAAGTTTCTTTAGGAGTTCTGGTGAATGTTTGCCTCCTCTTTGAGCCTTAGGTTTTCCTGTACACCATCCCAGCTGTTAAAGCATTGTTCATAAGAAAATCATATCATATATAGCTAGATTCTAGGTAAAACTCAAGAGTGAAAATTCCCTTAAAATTTGCTTCAAAACAAATAACAGCAATATGAAAAAATGGGCCAAAATCAATTATGTACCTACTTAGATTCTTGAATTATACCAGATTCTATCCTCTCTTTATCAAGAGTGATCTCCCAGGCTAGCTACAAACAGAAAGAAGAAAAAATATAAAATGTGAGAAAGCAAAACATGAATCTCAATGCTCAATAAACCTTGAAAACATCAAAAAAAAAAAAAAAGGTATTGACCTGTTGAGATTTTCATGATTGTAATAGCAACCAGGGTTGATTGTATATATCCAGAGTTGGGGGGAATGAAGCCTGGTCCGACATCATTCAGATGAAGTCTAGAGCTTCAAATCAATGGTCTCGAACCAGACAGCATTCCCCTCAACTGTTTAAGACTTGAAAGAGAGAAAAAGAAGAGAGAGAGAAAGGAGGGAAGGAAAGAGAAGAGTGTAGGAGGCATGACTGTTTGATATTGATTTGGCCATGCAGTGTTTTTATTTTTTCCATGGGCCCTTATATACGTGAGAATGAGTATCTACTTACGTGGGTCAGATGACATAGAATCCTGCTTTCTACAGCTTCCCTATCATGCTTTACACGCTGATTTCAAGTTTTTCAACTTCGATGTTTAAACTTCTTTCCAGGCTGCGTTTGGTTTGAAAGTTCAAAACCCCTCTTAACAAAATTCTATAAAGAACAAATATGGAATTGTCATTGGTTATACAGAAAGTTGAAAATACTTGTAAGCTAGCTCTCATACATGATCATAAGCAGTTTAACCTTTATGTTTCATTACTTTGATTACAGGAAAGAGGGATTGGAACTCAACTGTTCGAACAGAAGACGTGTGCTTACCATTAAATTGAGTCAAACTACGATCTTCTGTAGAGTATTGAACTTATAACTTCAATGAATAGGGTTCAATATCTGTGGGCATCAAATACAGAAGGAAAAAAAAAAATCTCGGATGCATTTCATTACCTTTTTTAACATGGTGTGACAGTTTCATTTGACTAAATGATATAGAGTTCTTGAAGTCTTTATTTTGGTAGGTTTTAGTAAAAGATAGCTGGAGGGATCTGTTTCTAATCCAGTTTTTCTTTGTATTTGGTTATCTTTGGTAAGATCATATGGATATGGACATATTTACGAAGAATGCTGCCAAACAAGCCACTGTAAATAGAAAATGAGATGTCAAAAGAACTGAAAATGATATAAAGTTTGGTGGAAGAAATTAAAGCCATTGTTGTTACTGATTACAAAGGGGGTTGAAAATAATAAAAAGAAGACTGGTGATCAAATATTGGGGTCAAAGCAATAGCTTCTTTTAGCATCAGAGAACAAGACTAGCAAAAGCTCTCTTCTACCTGTCAATCCTCCTTCCCAAATCAACTTACATGTGGTATAAAATTTCACATTAAAGGGTACACGTGTCACAACAAATGCCGGTTGATGGAACAATGTAAACCAAGAATTATCAAATGAATGGATGATCATTGCTTGGAGTAATTGATGTTATGATTAGGATTGCTTTTAAGTACAGTGATGAGTTGAAACTAAAGAAAAATATGGGGAGTGGTAAATGCATCATGATCTTGACAAAGGGTGTTTAAAGGATGTCTCTTTTGCTTCCCACTTGAGGAAAAAGGGAAGACGTTGAGGTGGGAGAAGCATCATCAATGAAGGCAATGCCACAAACAGTGTGATTCCAAGCTTAAATGGGAAGAAATACAGGTTGGCCTGTTAAAAGCTTTAGCAGAAGCCAACAAAGATTGAAAAGAAAAATAGAAAGAAAAGAAAATCTTCATGAAGTGATGCTACTGTATTTTAATTATTTAAATGTAACTTACGTACCAAAGAAAAATATTTAAATGTAACTTAATATTATGGTTAAGTCATTTCCTAATAATTTCACAAAAGTCATCCACTTTGAATTGAAAAATGAATTATTAATATGACAACTAATTTGTTTGAGATAATGGCAGACATCTATCTCGCATTTTACATGTGTTTAGATCAAGAATCAATCTTGAAAAGAAAAAAAAAACCCTATCATAAGAGTTTTATATCCTGCATAATGCAATAAACTTGGTTCAGGCACCCAAATTAATTATTGTGGTACATGTACAGAAGGGAAGGGCAGATATTAAAGGAAAAGCTAGAGGTAGGAATTGCATTTATGGCTTCAAAAAGTATTATTTAAATTTAGGATTTAATTTAATTAATTAATTTATGTAACTACTCCTAAAAAATTAACATTCAACATATATAAAATTTCAAATCTCAAGTATCAAAAACCCCTTCTTCTATCTCCAAATTGTTGTTGGGCAACCCACATTTATTGCCCTCTTATATTTTGTAATGAAATTACAGCTTATTAACTCTTTTCCTTATAATGGAAGGTAAGGCATGTTCCTCAACATTTATGTTTGAATCAAAAGCAAACCTAGGCTCATTGCGAAGTGTGTGAAGTGATTTTGAGGCACTTAAGATGTTGATGGTTCATTAAACCTTCTCAAGTTGGGTGTCTGAAACTTGCAAAACCAGCAACTCAGATGGTATTGAAGTATTTGAATCAACCTTCTCTTCTCTATAAGGGAAAGCTACCAAGAACACCAAAAGAAATTTGGATCAGTGGTTCGGAAAATTCAAGGGCTCAAAATTAAGCAAAATTTAAAGCCAGAATCCTTTTTTACTAGTAAAATTGCTAACACAAATGTGGCATTTTCAGTTCAAAAAGTCATCTTTTGCTGTTAAATCACTAAAAAAAAATTTTAAAAAAACTACCAACACTATGTGCTTTACGCTCCATGGGCATCTTTTTCTCTTTTTCTTTAAGACCTTTTCATGATGAAGCTTGCCATATGGCCCATAACCAAGCAAAACAAGTATTTCCATTCCATAAAAAAAGCACAACTTCCAACCTAATAAAGCACCCCTTAATGGCCCCTCTACCTAACTTTATCTTCATTTTTCATCTCCTAAGGGAGGCAACAAGCTTAACTCCTCACACATTACCAAAAAAACTGACAATTTCCGTACGCAATCTTCACTGAGTTCAAAACTTTTTATAATAGTTACTACCTCTACTTTCTACACTTCCACATCCCATAGAGACAGTGAATCTTCCAACTGGGTCAACTGGCAGCAAATGCAAGTCGTGTCCGGTGGCTGTTTAGGAATACGAACACTCAGGAAAATATGCACCAAGACTGTTAGTGTTAGTAAAAGATAGCAGCAGACTAAAAGGATGCAAGAGTGGAGGATTATACAGGAAGTAGTCTGTGCCTCCGTTCACCATAAGCTCAAAACAAAGAGTTGGAAATCTATGATAAAATTTATTGAATTGTTCAAAGTGAAATGGAGTCTCTTGGCTTTGTCAAATATTACAACAAATCAGGGACTTTTTATATGTATGAAAAGGTTATAACTTACAGAAATTTACACTTAATAATAACAATACCAAAAAAGCAACGAGTCTTTGCAAATTAAAGGAAGCAAAATACACATTCTTTAGAGTTGTCACAATAAAACACGAGAATAAACCCTTTCCACATTTTAAATTAGAAAACTTACCGGACACTCAAGAAAGGAAATTAATGTCCAAGTCAATGTGGCCATTTGCCTTGGGTGGAACTGACTCACTCATCTCTTGCACCTTCATGGTTTCATCTTTCAATTTCAAAGTAGTATGGCCATTCTGGACATTGTTCTGATTCTTCTTTTTGTTTGCTGAACCAAATGTGGTGGCAATAGTGTATTCTCTTTGACTACCCAAACTGTGGCGATTTCCGTGATGAGTAGCACCTTTTTCCTTCTCCCCTTGAGTTGAAGCAACTGCATCACTACAGCTCTTCCTCCGACCTAGCTTTGGAGACTTTGCACGAGTTGGTGGCATCTGGCATGCATACAAAACAGAATATCAAATTTTAAGCAAAAATGCTCAGAAGATGCTATAACTTTATCAACAATGAATCAGACAACAATTGTTTCTGATACCTGTTTCTTAGTGAATTAGCTGTTTGACCAGGCTAAATGACATTAAAGATTAATAAAAATCTGCACTATACCTTTTTCAGCTCAACTTTTGGTGGTGGTCCCTCATGGTAGAAGCTTGGCATTGGGCTTGCCTTGAATGTCAAACTCTTTCTAAATTGCTTGATGGCTGCCTCCCTCTCTTCCTTGAAAATTTTCAAAGTTTTTATCAGGAAAGAAGCAAAAAGGAAATAATAGAATTACCAGTCTAGGGTTATTTTGAATTATAATATTTGCCTCAGACAATAAACTTGAACTTGTAGACATGAGAGAAAGAGAAAGAGATGTAGGTAGCATGGTGAGTTGTTGCACCTTAGTCCTGGCTTCACTTTGGGTTTTCTCAGCCTCCAGAGCTTGGTGTTTCTCCTCTAGTTTTGAATAGAACTACAAGAAAACAACAAATTGACAAGCATCTGTGTTTCAGATTTTGCAGATGCACTTTGGCTATTAAAGTCAAGGCAGATGCAGATAGCATATTGAAGTCAAGGCAATACCTCCTTCCTCTTCTCTGCACGTTCAGAGCATCTAAATGTAGGAGCTGATGCAACAGTTGACTTGGGCTTAGCAGTCCGTGAAGAATCCAAAGTGCTTTTTACAGTCAAGGGATAACATCGGTGATATGTGGAAAGGGAGATGATCTCATGCTTTGTCATGTTCATGCAGTGTCCGTGTCCCAGAATACAGGAATAGACTATGCAATCTAAATGCATTTTTAAAATTTTATAATGATAAACATTTGCATTTAACTATGGTCAAGTGCTCATAATTTGACAAGTTTTTTCGTTAATTGAGCAAAGTTTCCTCACAATTACAAGAGTAACACGTGAACATTTTAGAAGATAATACCAGCGTTCAAGATACCACCTTTTTATCAGAAGGTATATCAATTCGAACAGAAGGAGAGTGTGTCAAAGATGTACAACAAAAATCAAGTGTAGAAAAAGCATGATTGAACTTAAAATACAGGTAGAAAGAGGATACGTGGAAGTAACAGAACAAGATTCATCATCATAAGGATGCTTCTTGTTATTTGGTTGCAGAGGCTTCCTCAAGACCAAAATTGGCTGCTGAAAAACATATAAAGACTTCATGAGCAGCCATAAGGGGGGGGGGGACACAGAAAGGAAATTTCTAAGTCTGTAGTTGATCAATTCTATGATACACCTAACACTGCTGTTCCTATTGGAGTCAACATTTCTATTTCTGAATTTATAGTTTAAAAAAATGAACAAGCTATTAATTGTGGCACAATGTGATTCCTTCAGGTTTCCATTAGCATCATTTAACCAAAAATGATGTCAAAATAAATCAAAATTCCAGAGGATGAAAAGTTTTCTGATATTATCAATTAATATAGTTGTCGTCAACAATTTATACAACTTCTAACACATATAAAACTTGATCAAGGCCTGTGCCTTGTACAATAGCATTTGCTTGAGTACAATTTATTATTATGCAGTTGCAGGGACCATGGAGTTTAAAGGAGGAGAACAGGTGGCCAATAGTGAAGCAAAACAATCAACAGAGAAATCTTGATAAGAAAGATTACCTGATTCTGTTTTCTTGTATTTGGATGATGTGCACCATTTGTGTTAGAGGATTTGTTCACATCATTTCCAGCATCAGATTCAGCCACAGCAGGACGAGTTACGAATGAAGCACGCTTTTCAGTAGCAAGAGCAAATGGCTGTGGAACAGTGTGCTTCATTCGAACATTTTCTGCAGCTAGTTTTGATGCATGCTTGGGTACTCTTGATTTATTATTCTTTGTTTTGACTCTATCTTGTTTGACCCTATCCTCAGGCAGGCCAGCCTCAAGGTTGGAGCTTACAATGCTCTGCTCTTCCTTACCATTCTCAATATGACTTAGTTCAGATTTCTCAACTGAGTTTTCAGTAGTGCATTCCTTCACCTCATATTCTTTTGCTTCAGTGCCTTCTTTTGTACCTTGGAGCTCAGGATCCCCATTCACATATGACTGCATGGCATCGTGATGACTGGGAAATGTTTCATTATTTGAATCTTGTGAAACACCATTTGAATAAACTATTACACAATCCGATTCCTTGTCCATGCAGATCTCTGTAATTTCTACTCCCATTGAACTGCACATATCAATTGGAACATCCATATTGCCATCAGTAACTTTGATGTTAATTTACATAAAACCATCAAAAAGTTCAATGACATTAAATTGATTGAAATCATGCTATCTCAAAGCAATCAATCAATCATACAAGATGCAACGGGCATGTTAATTTGCTTCTAGAAAGATTTATCTCATTCCCCCCAATGAAAGCAGAACAGCAAGAATAGCAAAGATTCTATGAAACCCTGATACAACAGTATGACATCATTTCTTCAATAACAATTCAAATGGCACATAAAAAGAATGCAAGATATGATATCAGGGGAAAAGAAAACACTTTGCTGTTACAGAAAGACTTCAAGATAGCATCTCTCTTCCTCAGCGCCCAATTAAGTCATGCTCTCTGAAAGGACTTTTTCAACTACACTCATTCATCAAAGCCTAAGCATCCTCCATACAACCAATGGCTTCTCCTCTCCCACAAACTAAACTCAATTACAGCAGTAGTGAAACTAATCACTAAAAAGAAATTAAAGAACCGTTTTGGTGGAAGATGAATAGCTCTTTAAGGTGGAAGATGAAAAGAAAATGAAGTACTTGCAATTACCAAAGATGTTCACATCAAGCCAAAAAGCATGAAAATTGACAAATAGAAAATACATAATTTCTTTTGAAAAAAAAAAGGCTTCGCCAGCATGGAAAGATAACTTTGATTTCTTTAAGAAAAAGAAGCAACAAACAGAATCATTTGTATCTTAAAACATGGAGTTATTAAAGGACATAAAAGGAAGTATAATTAAGAATAGGGGCAGAACATTACTCGGAAGTATGGCGTGCTAAGTCCATAATTACAATAAGAGTCCAAGTAACTAACTCAATCATACAACAAAAAATAAAAATAAAATGCAACAATCATGGGTCAAAAGCCATACCAAAAGAAGAAAAAAAAAAAAAAGAACAATCAAAATAATAGTGAACAAGTTTTTGACAGAGCAAAAGAATATTCCTATTATTTAAATTTAGAATCAAGGGAATTCAAAAATTTCAGAATTGATTCTAAAATCAATTCCATTCACCTGAAGACTGTAATATCTAATCATAAATTATACTAATGAAAAAATGATACATACAAAAACATAGCTAAAATTTGTGTTTCAATTGATATAGCATCTACTTAAAACACAGATATGCACTTAAGGCCTCACAATCTGATTCAATACTCCAAAAAATACCACCCAAAAAAGATAATAATACCAGCAATGGTTATTGAACCTCCATTTGATTCCTGGAAAATCAAGAGAAAAATAGAATCTGAAATGATTATGCATAAAAAAATCTTGCTTTCTAAGAACAATCCAAATTTTCAACTCAACTAAACAGACAACAAAATTCAATTGTTTTCACACCACAGCCATTAAAATTCAAATCTAACACTAACCCAACATTTGTAGCCATCAAAACCAACCAAACAGAAAAAAAAAATCAAAATTTTGTATTCTGTAAATGTTGGTTTTACATTTATTTCTGTACCAAGTACAAAACAAAGTACAGACTTTAACACCCCAAAGAAAACCATGACAAAAACACCCATTTAAAAAAAAAAAACACTACGAAAGATATGATATCTAAGTTCAGATCAAACAAAGAAACAAAAGAAAAGGATATCTTGAAATTCAAAGAGGGACATTCAAAGACAAAGATTTGAAATTTAAAACTGACATTTTTCAAGTGCATGCATTGCAAGAAGAAGAAGAGGAGATCACTAGTTTTGAAGAGTGGCAAAGAGAGTGAGTGGCAAATGCGGTAAATTACTTACGTTTTTGGTCCGATCTAATGAACAAATGAAAGCTCTTTGTTTTGCCTTATCGAGCTGTGTCTTCTATCTTTGTGTGTTCTGTTTTGCTTCTGTTGGAGAATGTTTCTGTTATTTTGAATTTTTTTTTTTTAATATATATGTAAGCTGGTTCGTCGGTGCTAACGGTGTTACTTAACGCCGTTATCTAATTTTTTATTTTTTCTTTAAAAAAAAGAAAAAAAAAAAAAAGAATGGGTTTGATTCTGATTTTGGGATGGTAGAATCTTTTCAAAAGATATTTCCTTAAATTTTGGCTTTTCATTTGGCTGCCTTCTTTTCTTTTTTTTAATTTTGTCGTAATTTACAATTAAAAAAAAATTACTTACCATAGAGTATTAATTTTTTAATTGGTTTTTGATATATTGTCATAAAATTTTTCATTATGAGATTAAAAAATTTATATATATCTTATTTTTTTATTTTTAATTTTATTAATTTTGTTTATAAAATTTACGATCTTCAACAATAATAATGAAATAATTTCTCTTAATTTTTTAAGTATTTTTTTTAAGCTTTGGTACATATTTTAAGTATTGTATTTCTTTTTTTTTTTTGGTCGCAAAGGAAGAGACAATGAACCAATGCAACTTAAGAATTTATATTGAGACAATGACACATACATTTAATTTTAGAACTTATAAAATACTCGACTACTTGAGCAATTAATTAGTAGCTCAAATTTATTATAAATTTATCCAATTTTAAAACTTTATTAGCTAGTATATATATTTAGATTAGATTGCAAAGCAATACAAGCCTTTCACAAAATTTGTTGAAAATGGTAGTAATTGAAAAAAAAAAAAAAAGGATTATGGGTCATTTTATATAGGAATCATAGTCAAATTTGTCATTATATTATGGTCAATGTTATTTTATTATTTTACTTTAATTTCATTTAATTTTTTATTATATTTTTAAATAAAAATTAACGATATTTACAAAAAAAAATGTCCAGTTATATTAACAAAATAAAATATTCTAATTCTGTTATTTTTTTAATTTAAAAATCAATGAAATTAAAAATATAAAGACAAAATTCAATGAATTTTACTATGAAAAAATATTGATCTATCCATATTTTATATAATTAGCAAAAAGAGATTTTATTTTGATATATAAAGATTTTTGAGTTAAAGGACTCGTATGTCTTTCTTTTTCATATTATTTTTTCCAAAAAAAATGTTTTTTTCATTTTCTAATTTTCGAGATTGAGAAAGTATGTCCTTGAAGTAAATGCAACTGTGCAAGTTATCCTTTCAATGTCTGCTCTCTTTTTTTTTTAATTGTAAAGGAAGACTAACGCTTTTACAAGGAAGGAGAGAGACGTCGAGATCGAACTCATGCCTAAGTGACTTTCAATCCATCTCTTAATCGCTGGACTAAAAGGAAAAAGTTAATGTGTGCTTTATCTAACTCATCAGCAGTGCTTTCCTTGGAAACAACTTCAATCAATATAACTCATACGATCAACATCAATTAAATTCAGGTTAATTTTTTTAATTTTTATACTCACTCTAATTAATTAGATCAAACATAACCTATTCTTTTTCCAACCAAGATTTGTATAATCTTAATAAAAAGCCTGAATTTTTTTTACTAATTCGAAACTTAATTTGTTATTTAAAACATCAAAATTTAATCCTAATTATTATCAATCTTAAATTATGTTAAGCATTTTTATGGATAAAAAATTTTTAAACATAATTTTAGAGTATTGGTTGGGGAGTTTAGTTGCTATAAACACAATGTAGTTGTCAGATTCGTCCAGAAGATGTTCATATCTTAACCAAAAAGTTATGAAAGAGAAGATGTTTCCATCCAAGTCAAATAATTGTTGAGGTCCCATCCTTGATTATTCCTCCTTAACCCTTTTGATAAAGGCCTAACACCCTCTAATTAATTTAATACCCACTCCTTTGGCTTGCATTTCCCAATTTGACCCATACCCTTTAAGTTTGGTGACTAAGGGGCTAGCTCTTTTTTTGGTGTCTTGTTAGGCACCAAAAATGGTCCCATTTCTCTACTAGTTTCAAGCCTAATGTATATCTCTTTCCTTGCATAAAAACTTCCTCATTTAATTCTTCATTCAACTAAAAAAAGGTTTATATTATATGATTTTTTGAAGCCAAATTCATATGTTTTATGAAAATTATTTTTGGCTTGAATTGTTAAAGAGGTTTGTCAGTTCATATTCACAAATTAAATCAGTTCAATCACACGCAAAACTTTGTAATTAAACTTCAACTTATGTTGCTAAAAATTAAAACTGATAATTTATATTATCGTATCGTGTAAAATATTATGTTTATATTATATTTTATACAAAAAATTATGTATTATAATTCATATCAATACGTAAATATAAAATATAATATTTTGATTTTATTAAATCTATATATATAATTTTTTTAAAATTTTAAATCGTGTTATCTTCGTATTTTTTATTCATATTATTTTTTATCATGTTACCGTATCATATTTTAAATTATCAGATCTATTAAATATGATGGTACAAATGTATTTTGGTTCTGATCCTTTTATCTCTAATTATAAGGATTCAAAAAGTACTTAAAAAGTAAACTCTTCTTTATTTTTATTTTTTTTCAAGTAAAGCTAAGGAAAGTTTTCACTTAAATATATAATTTATCTTATAGAAATGAATCCCTCAATTTAACAAATGTAGGATTTCTTTTACCTCCATTTTAATATTCCTTCTCGAGTGTAAAAACAACATACCTATCATATGACATGAATTTCACATATAGATATAATAAACATATCATAAAAAGAATGATAAATAGAAACAAAGTTTGCTTTGATACTATGTTAAATTCTAAGATGGATATTCAATTTAAAATCAGAGACCTGTTTATATTTATTTGCCCAAATTTCGTCCAATATAACTTATTGTGAGATTTACTTTATTTTCACATCAACACAATCTTATCTCATATTTTAAGAATATTTATACTTTTTGCTTTAGAAATCTTAATTTATTTATTGATATTAAGATATAAAAAATTTTTTACTTATATAACAGAAACACGGAATTTTAAATCATTTGATATTTAAAAGCGTGCCTAACTTTGTGGGTTTTTTTACTAAATATGAAAAGAAAATAAAATAGGAATTTCACATTTGAATTGTTCGTGAAAAAATTGTGTGGAGCATAGTTTCCATACAGTTGGTAGGCTAAAAGCTCTTATGGTTTGTTGCATGCAATATTTGATCTCCAGGTATGTTGTTGGTTAAGATTATTGGGGAGGCAATTCTTGCAATTTCCTTTTATGATTATGTCTCCCAAAATCCCAGGTTGTTTCACTTGTAGCCAACTTCCATTTTCTGCATTGAAAAGCTTCCTCCATCTGCACCAAACCTGAAAAACATGTATGAAAAAATTTTCCTTCTGCTTTATTAAAATAATTAGTTATCATCAAGACTTGATACTATTTCATTTTCATCTAATTAATATCATGTATTTTTCCCTAAAATTAAGCTAAGTCATTGATCATAACAACAATACTCATCTTAATTAGGATTTTAGAGAAATGATTTGGATTTCGAAATTACGAAATTTATAGTTAATAAAATTATTATATTATTTACAACGAAATTAGTAGAATGATTCGTAAACCTATAAGTATATCTTAATTTAAGATGGTAGATCATCAAATAATTATTTTAATTATTAATGGATTTGATTTCTAAAAGTTTTGAAGTTTGAAAAGGTGCATCAAAATATTATTTTTAACATGTAATTTTTAATAAATTTAAAATTAAAATTTCAGTATCGAAAATTCTTTCTCTATCATCACACTACAAATTTTTAAAAAAAATGTGTTATGATGCATTAGAAGGTTGAGTTTGATATTTAGAGAGGGAATTAGGGGCAATGATAGATAAGTAAGATTATGGAGCAGATATGGAAGGCAGGGTGAGCCCATGGGGGAGCATCGGTGAGCTGTGAAACTATGACTTTAGGTGTAGGGAGGGTGGAAGAAGAATAGAAGCGAAGTGAGTGGAGTAGAAGGAAGGGTAAGGCATAAAAATAGAGCAATGATAGAGTGGGAGCCACATATCCACCCTGTATCAGGCCTTTTAATCTTCAATTTCAAGTCAATGATTGATCATCTTCATGGGTCCCACATCCTAGATTGTACATGCCAACGGCTATGATTGATGACCATCACCTCTATTGCTCTATCATCAGCCTCTCTTTCCTTGTAACTACTATCGCTTGATTTGGAGATTGGCAATTGAGAGGTGGAATCTAGTCACTTTGTATGGTAGCATTTAAACTCAAATTCTTTCGAGGTAGGTTTGGATAATTTCATATTTTGATTATTTCAAATTTGAATATTTAATTATTATAATTTAAATTATTGAGTCTAAGTCATTGAACTTTAAATTATTAAATTTTAAAATCAAATTAATTTAAATTTAAATTACTCGAAATTAAATTATTTTAAGCTGAATTCATTTAAATAAATTAAGTATATTTAGATTACAATTACATGTTTTAATAAGTCAACTTCGACCAAAATCAATTCCAATGAATTTAAATAGTTTTTAAATTCAACTCAATTTTATTAATTCTTTCAATCGTATTTAAATGATTTATATATGTATTTTTATTTTTAAAAAAATCAAATTTGAATCTCTCATTTTATTTTAAAAAATATTATTTTCTCAATTAAAAACTTAAAAAGAACAAAAGTATATAAAAAATAAATACATAAAATTGTTTCATTTTATTTATTTTCTTCAACTATTTAATTAATAATCTTCTTTCTAATCTTTTAATCAAGAATAAAGTTTAATTTCAAATCATGATTGACTCGTTATAAAGTCAAATCATGATCACGTTTTAAGTGAAATTCTTACAAATAAAGTATTTTATTGTAATTTTTTCCCCTTTCTATTTATAAAACTAGTTCAATTTTTTGTTATTCATTCCATGAGGTGAGGATTTTCTTGTTGTTTTAATATATTTATAAAAAAAAATTTAATCATAATAATAATATAATTAAACAACTTATGTAATACTAAATCAAAGGTAATTATTCTAAAATATTGGCTTTTCAGAATTATTGTGTTATGTTTATTTAAATCCCTTTATCTTTAAAAAAATATTTTCTTTTGTATATCTTAATAAATTTAATATAAATCTAACCATATTTTGTTAATTATGAAAATTAAATATATTGAAAAATATTATTTATAAATTATATAATATAAATGTATTTAACTTTTAAAATATTTATACTTATTATATAATTTAACATATATATTAATATTTGTGATTTAAAAAATATATACATTTTTTATGTTGTCAAAATTTTTATTGATAGTGACATAATTGTAAAATAAAATTATTATTTAAAATGGACCCTTAAAACTAAAATTATGAATCAATTATTAATAATAAATATCAATTTTTTTATATGATAGATTGTGTTTTAACGTATATTATTCTATTAATGTATATTAGTATTCATGATATAAAAAAAATGTATTAATTTCCAAGTTTTCAATTTCTTTTAATGATAGCAATGTAATTTTGAAATAAAATTATATATAAATTTTAAAATTTTAAAATTATTATTAATAAATATCTAATTTTATATGATACTTTATTTTAAATGATTTTATATAAATATATTGTAAAACAAATAAAGAAGTGAAGTCCTCATCAAACAAAATTTATATGTTTAAATTTTTTTTAAAAAATTATATATAGCATGTGTCAATCCTCATTAGACAAATGAGAATTAGCTAAATAGGGTATTATTAGGAATGATAAAATATTCGAATTTGACACTTTCAATCCATTCTAATTTAATAAGATTTTTCTTTTTTAAATTAAAGCCAAGTCGAAGACGGGACAAATTTGAAAAATAAATCAAGATCAATCAAAAACTGATTTATGGTACTTAGTCTCGACCCATCTTGAAGTATATATATATAAAAAAGGTTGGAATTGGTATGAAAAATAATAACACATTGTTAGGTCAAGTGCAAAATCCAATGTAATTATCAAGAAGTTAGGTCAAAATTAAAATGAGTATAAACTCGTTCCAATCCAATCCATTCCCATATGCATTATAGTAAATCATCATGTGCTTTGTTTTTATATATAAGCATGATGTATAGAATGATAACCCATTGTATTTATATTTATATTATATTATATTATATTATATTTATAGTTTATTTTATTCATTTGAAAAGTTTTTTAGAATATAATTTAGAAATAATGAATTTCACCTATTCTAAAACTCCAACTTAATTCTTGAAAAAAAAAAAACCTCCAACTTAATTATAAATGAAGATTTTAAGTCTCATTATATATGTGAATTTAGTTGTTTAATTATATTTTAATTTGTTAATTTATTATTCAATTATTGAATTTAATATGATACAATAATTATTATTTAATTGATTATACGAATATAATATTTTTATTACGATTGTCTTAAAAAAATTTAGACTTAACAGCATTTGGGATCTTTCCCATTCTTTCGTTTTCCTCTTGTGCATTTAACTCATGGGATTGGGAACTATGCAATTAACGGTGAACTCTTAAGCTTTATTCAACCAATTTACCTTTTGAGACTTTTAAAGACTGAAAGTTACTTAGAAGAACCTTGTGAAGAAAAATAAAAATGAACCTTCTTTTGCAGGTAAACTAGAGAAGTTAATTTTGCTCCAGCAATAAGCAATAAGCAAAGCTATATCTTGAAAATTTTAGAAGATATTTCTTTTACCTAATCTTTTTAGTGTTAGTGACAAGAGCCAAAAAGTTTGAAGGGACAAACATCAACTTCCTAGAGTATAATCTAAAGGGATAATGATGCTTAAAAGTGGATTAAACTAAGGTAATTGCTGAACTCAAATGTGAAAGTGACATTCAATCACTGTGAAAATAGTAAAAATACATGGTCTTTTATGTTTTTTAACGTGCTCAATTTAACTTGAAATGTTACAATTGGAAGTTAAGTTTCATAAATTGATCATCAAGCTTGCTCAAGTTAAAAAATTGGCTCATTTGGCTAAACTCAACTCTAGAGGAAAATTAAACAAGTATAAAGGAGATTAGTTTTATTTTATTTTCTTATTTCTTTATCAAACAAGTATTAAAAATTGATTAAATTGAACTCAAAATTTAATATAAGTGATTCATGTAAATATTTTTAAAATTTTTCTCCTATTTTCAAATTATGACTTTTTTATAAAAAAAATATTAAATTACGCTTTAAAAAACAATTAAAAATTATTCCAATTTTGTGCAAAACAATTGGGCCGTGTCGAGACAAGACTCAAACTAATTCACTTATCTTCCCAATTAACCAAAGTCCATGGTCAACTCAACAACACGATTTGCTTCTTAAGCCCAAAGATCAGCACACAAGTAAACACGTGGCATTTTTTCATTGGACTCTACCACCGTAATTTCCCTATAAACCAACCCCCCCCCCCTCTTGTAATCCAAAATTACGTTTCACAAAACCAACTTTCTCCTTAACTGAATAACCAACTTTTCCCGCCATTTTCAGAGAATTGAGCCCTAAGGTAATCAATGGAGTCGAATATTGCAGCAGTAGTTTCAGAGAGCCCTAAGGCCAAAGAAGAAGCCAAGAACGAGGAGATCCTCACCGGCAGCGACGGCAACATCAAGAACAACAAGAAGGCAGTTGTTGTTACTGTAGTTGCTATTGCTGATCATCATGGCAAGGTTGCTTCCATCACTTCTTCTGCAAAAACTGAGTCACCCCAAGAGATTAAGAAGATGATGAAGAACAACAAGAAGAAGAAGAACAAGGTTCAAGTCTCCAATACCAAGAAACCCTTCATCTTCTATCTCAATCTTGCCAAGGTAAAAACATTGTATCAATTTTGGTTTTTTTCTTGGAGTTGAAGTTGAAATTTCTTTGTTTTTATTGGTTTTCTATGCTTTCTTGTATATGTTCTGAAATGGGTTTTAGTTATTTCTGTCTAAGGTTTCTTTCTCTGTTTTTTTATGTATGTTTGGAATCATATATCTTCTGTTTCTTTGCAATGTAGAGTTAGGCTTCTTGGTGCTTATTTGTTTTCTGATGTTTTCTTATGCTTGCAATTTGTGGTTAGTTTTAGCGTAGTTCTTTCCCTTGAATATGTCATGAGATCTTTAATATTTTTGCCTCTAATAATCATTTGATAAGGTCTTGCTATAACATACTAAGACTCGGTTGTTGTGATAAATTTTGTTGTGTTTTCATTCGTCAATTCACTTTTAAACTTCATATCTTCCTCTAATTATCACTTTATGGGGGGGAGGGGGTTATTTCTCTAATCAAATCTTAATCTTTGTTTTGTTGCAGAGGTACATAAATGAGTGCAATGAGGTTGAGCTCTGCGGCTTGGGGATGGGTAAAAATTCTTTGATCCTTTTTCTTTTCTGTTTTAGTTTTGTTTATCTGTCTTTTCTTCTCTTTCTTATGCAAATTGAATCCTTTAGTTGAATCTTCTTGTAATCAAACTGGATCATCAATTTTGTTTATAACTACTACATGCTTTTTAACGGTACCCAATCTTTTTCAAGTTTTTTCTTTGAGCATTAATTGGATTTGTCTTACATATGTATCATTCTTTTGGAAAGAAAATGGCATGCTTGTGTCGATGACTGAAATTGACAGACATTTCAAATTCACCGGTAGATTTTCCTATCCAATGTCTTGATATATAAAGCAGAAAAAATAGGGTCTTGATCTGTCCTCAATTACTTATGCATCAAAGGTTTATGCCTTGGACTATATGGCAATAGAAATCCTGTTATCATCGGACTATTTGCTGATATGTATAGTTATTTTACCCAGCTATTCCTACTGTTATCACAATTGCTGAGATTCTGAGGCGAAATGGATTGGCAATCCAGAAAGGTAAGAAGCCTTGAGTATTTTATTTTCGTACTAGGTGGTATACTTCAGATGTTGTCACTGATTCTGATTGTTTGGAGATGCAACAGGAATAATGACATCAACTGTACTCAGCGCCCAGGAGGATAAAAAAGGTCGTCAGATCGAGAAAGCCAAGGTTATTGCCCTTGCTTCTATTACAGGGTGGTTTTGCATAATTTGGTATCCTCAACAAGTTTTTTGCTTGTCCATGATATCTGCCTAATTCTCTATCTGTGTGTGTCCTTTTTCAAGATTGAGATAGTGCTTGCAAAAGCTGAGAAACTTGACACGACCAATCCGACTGTAACCCCGACGAAGGCTGCTGATCAGAGTTCATAACAAAGCAATAGTATTTGAATTTCACTTCTATAGCATGATCTCTCCCTGTTTTCCCCACCTTCTAACTGGAACTGCAGTTGCACGAACAAGGATCAGTTTGGTTGGAGATGGTCCAGCTGGACTTTTCTGTATGGTTTTTCCTTTCATCGTCCGAGTTAACACTCTAATGTAGTATCAATTTACTGTACATTGTACACAGCACGTTTAAAGAGAATGAGTTTCAGAATCCCTCTCTCTATTTCTGTTGAACATCATTTTGACTTTGAGCAAGGATATTGTCCTCTCAGTACTACACAATGATCGGCCAAATTCATACAGAAGAACTGCTATTTTCTTAGCGCTGTTAAACAGCTAAGAAAAATGGTTATGGCATATGATAAATATGACCATATAATTGCAGCAGAAAAAGGAATATAAGATGGAACTATATTGCTTACTGGAATAGCATAATGCACTAGGAAATTAATCTATCCAAATGAAACTCATTTCAGAGTTGCACTTAAAAGACGGCAAGATTGACTTGAAAAACAAAAGGGGCAAGGAAATGAATAAGGATGAAAAATGAAACTCTTTTGACAGTTTCACTCATAGAAAGTACGATCAAACTATAGCGCTGTAATAAAGAGAAAGAGCAAATAGTTAATCTACAGGTTGACCAATGGCAGAAAGGAATACAGCTAAAACACTATTTAGTTGCATTCATGAATTTCAACCACAAAGTAACATGACATGGAAAATCTGAATCTTGATGAGTACATCCTACAAATGCTGCAGTCTACATTTCAGTTTCTCTTAAAGATTCAATTGTTCTTAGTAAAGCTTCAACAGCTCTGGTGCTTTTGGCTATGTGCTGGTTAACAGACATCTTAAGCAGTAGCTTTATAAAGTGTCAAATAGTACAGACGATCCAAAGTCCTTAATTCAGCCTTCTGATATCAAATCTCATGCGAAGCCCCTCGAAACAATCCGCTTCTCTAAGCTCTGAGTCAGAATACTTGGTTGATTGGTAATAAAAGAAGAACAGAAACTGACACACACACACACACACACACACACATACACACATACATACATATATAAATATAAATATATATATATATATGATTTTCAAAAGCTTCACAAAACTCTTGGTCAGATCAACCTCTCTTATTATAAACATCAAAGTTATGAAAGAAAAGAATACTGATAAAAGAATTTTGATTAATTGCATTCTTCGCTTCAAACTTACTAAATAATTCAACTGGGATCGAAGGAAAACGTCTATGATTTGTCTGTATTAAGACTGCCTCCTACTGCAAGGTTCAATTTATCATTATACGGTTTTTACAGCTCAGAAACTTTTTCTTCATAGCCATGCACAAACCTCTGAAGTCACAAACAATATATTTAACCCCAATTCCTTCTTAAGTAAACCTTTTGACCACAGATCTGAACAAACAAATCCCTTGGCACAATTCTCTTCTCCATGCTCAATCCTAGCAGACGAGGATGTTTGGCAGCGAGTGAAGCCTGGAATCCCATTTCATTCAGAAGAAAATCCATCACTTCCGTATTTTTATCCTCGGCCGTTGCCATAACCAGAGGATGATTCCTAAAAGCCTCTAAAATCTCTTCCTCAGACCAACCATACTTCTTGTAAGCATCAAATTTTCTCTCCCAAGTGGATTTACTCAATGAACTCAATACATAGAGAGCTAAAACAAAAGTAAACCTCTTGGGATTTAACCCCATTTTCTTTACTTTCTCTACTTTCTCTTCGAACTGAACTGGAGCAGAGAGTGACTTAGGAACCGGACGAAGTCCTTTAACTATAATATATTCGTATCTCGTAAATATGAGTTTAGGGTTCAGATCTCTATATTATATCATATAAAATCCACAATTAATTAATGTCCTCACATTTAATTAATTTATGATTGGAGACGTAATAATCTCCCCACTAATATAGATTTAAGTCTAGAATTTATATTTGATATTATCCCTTAAATAAATATACAAAAATTAATATTTTTTAAAAAATTTATTCATTAATGTGATGGCATCATCTGATTTACTTTATTAATGAGATAGTATCATTCAATTTACTGTACATCAAATATAAATCCATATATATATATATATATATATATATCACATCCTTACACTTAACCAAATTTAGATGTCACAATCTTTCCATTAAAACTTGACATTCTTATCAAACTCAACAATGATGCTCTCGCAAGTATTAGTTTAAATTTCTGCATTATATCATACCCTCACACCTAACCAATGTAGGATTAGAAGTGCTACAATCTTCTCATTAAAACCTGACCAATGTGGGATCAGGGGTGTCATAATCTCCTTTGTTAAAATTTGACGTCTTGTCAAACTCAGTACAGAATCATAGCTAGGATCACACTAGACGTTGACAGCCTTAGAATTTTAGAGGTGACTCTCATAAATTATAGAAGTAGTTTCCATGTTGTAGTATTTAACTCCCAAACTTTGGGCTGGTGATTGTTATGATGTTATATTTATAGAAACCTATATCCAACCTACTAGATATTATCATTTTAACTTGAAAATCTTATGATTTTTTTCTCACAAAAAATGCATATAAGTATAAATTTATGCCTCTACATATATATCTATCTTTAACTATTATGGAATTAGAAGCGTCACAATTTGTTTTCTTGAGATCATCAGTTAAAGTTGGAGGCTTGGAGCCAGACAATTCTAGTATTGTGTTTGTTTATTTTGTGTTTAACATGTATAAACTATGAAAATTATCATAGTACAATAATCAAACACAAAATATATATATTTTTAAACAAACCTATATATTATTTTTGTTAAAATTTTAAATTTCGTTTAGTCGATGACTCGGAACTTTAACGGAGTTCTTGAGCAGGAAGATTCAGTTTCTGTATTTCAGTAGAATATGAATCCAATAGTTTAAGCATACAGCTCTTCTAAGACTTGGAGTTCCTTATCTTTGAAATTAGATTCTGAAACATGATATAGTGTTCCATAGTTCTGAAATAAAATGCTACCGTGCAATTATTCATATCAAAGTTGTTTATTGATGGCAAAGATTGTTTATTCATAACAAAGTTGTTGATGGCAAAGAGGGGTGGAGAATACAGCATTAACCTGTATAAATACCTTATACCAAAGCAGCTGGTTTACAAAAACCATAAACAACGCATCAGTGCAATGACAACTTGACAAGGGTTAGTGCCAACACCTTCACCCCATTTGCTATGTCCTCAGTGGAGGCATATTCTTCAGGCTTATGGCTGTATCCTGCAAAAGCAATAGATTTAATACATTTTAGCCTTTTCTTTTTTTTATGATCATATGCACAAAAGCTGCTATTATGCCTAGCTACTGTTTCTCATATTGATTCTCTCAAAATACAGTGGCATTTGATGTCTGGTTTAAACCAAAAGCTTCCTTAGGCACCTAATTTAAACCAACGGTGATGTAGAACTTGTTAATTAAATGACATTAATAGCGTTCTGCTATACTGTAAATACAGTAAAATCAGTTGATTTAGAAGGAAAAAGTTAAATTGATGCTTAGATGTAAATAATGCGAATCATACCTTTGTAACATGGAATGAATATCATGCCCATAGGAGATATCCTGGAGGAGCATGAAATGCAAACATCAGCTGCAACTTATAGTATATAATGATGATGATAATGATGATGAGAGTGAATTGTGAATCCTTTGACATGTTTACTTGTGTAACCATAGCTAATTGCTCCTCTTGTGACTAACCACTCAACTAGGCCTTTTTCCTTAAAATGAAAGTTCACACTCAGGAAAAGTATCCAGAGTCAGGAGCTTTTCTTCTCTATATGGACAACCATGCATGTTCCCAGCTTAGGAGGAAGGGCAGGATCACGAGAATTCCAGCACCTTTCCATGAGAGCATGCATGCACCAGAGCCATCTGAAGAAAGTATAATCTAGCAGAATTCAGTAGGTCTCATATTCTCTATGATTCAATATCTTGGGATGCTAATGTTGAGTATCCAATCTTGTATTATTCTCCTAAATTTTACAATCTAAAAGATATGGAAACAGCATAGTTTCATATTTTAGGACAATTCTTTTCCCCATACCCCCTCTTCTTCTGTATTTCATAAATTACGAATCTGATGAGTCCAGGGACCTGATATTCAGCCCTGCGCAACATATAGAGTGGTGCTTGCAAAAGATTTAGTTGAGAAATATCTTTTTGTTAAATGTATCTCCTTTACCTTGCCATAAACAGTGAATCATGGTAAGCTCTGCTAATCATAAACTTTTGTGTTAGGTTCAGCTCTTTTGATGCAGCTTCCATTGCTTCAATTATTGATTTTTCAGAAAGGACTGGTGGGTCCTGATTTATGATATTGAATTCTGATAGGGTGACCTTACGCTTTCTGGCAATAGTAATCGCAGATTCATGGATTTTCTGGATAACAACATTTCTTCTCTTTTCATCAATATCTCGTGTGTCTACCAAAAAGATGAGTAATAAGAAAACAAAACATATCAGATGATCAGATAGTAATCCAGATACAGCCCAGATTATCCAAGGGAGAGGTCAGACCTCATACATGTGAAGTAGTAAATACAAATTTCAGGAAAAAATAATTCTATCTTTTTGGTAGTAGGGTTTTTTGAAATGGATTAAGGACAAAGGAACAACTAATGTATTGCACAGAAAACCTGTGAGAGACTAAGATTCTAAGACAAAACTAAAGTTCTCCTGGAAGAATACTCACAAACATGACACATACCAATTTTGAGGTGTGATTTACTAGGGATGCTGTTGATTGCTCCTGGGTGCAGCTCTAAAATTCCTGGGAAAATAGATATTATCAATTTAAAAAAGGTTCACAAAAATTTATTCAGATGAAATAGAGGAAGCTTATTTAAATCAAAAGAACTTTGCATGAGATCAAATGAGGAAAACAAAAAATATTTTCTCTGGACTTACCTACTGTACCAACAGTATCAACTGATCCAGATTCCAATACATGTTTCTCAACAGCTAGTGCTAACTCAGCAGCTGCCAGTCCTGCATCATTTCTGCACTTTATAATATATTTACAGGTTATGAATCTTTTAGACTAAATAAGCATTCTAGCAAAGGTATGACGAGGATGATCTAACACACAATCCAAATCTAATTCAACCAAATTACTGACACATGCATATAAATATATGAAATAAGGATGAAAGATCAGCACCACTGAAACACGAAAGCTGCAGAAGTTGGCATTAGTAGTTATTTAACTCTGAAGCATTTAGGAAAGAAGAATTTTGCTATTGGTAATATTCACCTGTTTGGCATCAAGACTGCACCTGCATGGCCACCATTGCCTTCAAAATCAACTTTTATACTTGCGGGGGCTGCAATGGCAGTTACTATACCAATAGATACACCTGAATTTGAGGGATAATGCGGATTTAGCAGATCCTTGGCTATTGCAAGAAAGAGACAGCAGTAACAGTCAAAAGTGAGATACCTTCCTCCTCAAGAATGGGCCCTTGCTCTATATGCAACTCAACAAAAGCAGAGTAACTGCCTTTCTTCAGAAACACACTGGATAAATTATCTTCATCTCTTGCATATCCAGCAGATCTAGCAGCATCTAAGAAGGATATGTTTTGGCCATCAACCGTTGTCTTCAAAGCTTTAGCAAGAGCTACATCACCTGCCAATAAGCGGCTGCATGTTGAAGAAACATATCAGAGACTTAAAACCAGAGTCAAGAACCCAGCTATGACACGTAATATTTTTAAGTTTAATCAGTGCAAGTTACAACTTAAATCTGCAAAAATAAGGTGACAGAAGATTCAAACAGGAAATAAACCAAAAAAAAAAAACTGTGCATGCCTACTATGCAGTCATACAACCTTCCCAAACAGCTGATCCCAAAGCGTGTTGGCTCTTCGGAAGTGAACAAAATTATCTCCAATGACCTTTTAGGTTTGAACCCAGACCTAAGGAAGTTTCATTATCATGGGACAAAAATTTTAGCCACAATGCAATAAGCTGGCAGAACAAAGATCTTAACAAAAACTTATACATTTATCAAAATGAATACCTTTCTTTTTTTTTGGTAAAAAATGAATAAATATATTTTAAAAAGCGATGTTTGCATTAGGGATGAATGATTTTAAAGGTTCAACTTCACAAGGGTGAAAAGTCACAAACCTCTTTAGTGCATTAATGGCTTCTATTGCACCTAAAACACCAACAACACCATCATACTTCCCAGAGTATGGAATAGCATCAATGTGAGAACCTGTTGCTACTGCAGTGAGCTCTGGTTCAAAGCCATCCCTGCATGGTAAAAAGCATTTAAAGAATCAAAATGGAAGTAACCGAACATGTGATCCACAAAAATGAAGGTCTAGATATTAATATAAGCTTGACGACCAAATGTAAATGAGAAATCTAGTGAGAGGGAGAGGAAGAGCAGATATTAGTTTGGTGACATGGTGGTGATGCGAGGAAACTAAGAGGACAACAAAAACAATCATGGAGCTCTTTGCAAAACAGAGAAACAGCTAGTTATTCTTAAAGCTCGCAATTACTGACCTAAAGAAAGATGCATTTCATCATCAATAATTAACAATAGGTGGGTGGTACAAAACCATCAACATAGTGCAACTGGACTAATAAAGATAAAGCCCCATTTGACATTCAAACCATGATAGTTAAAGAAGCAGAGAGAACCAATCAAACAAATAAATAGAGAACTATGCAGGAAAAGTAATGCGTATACAGGAAAAATAACGAGTTAACATATTACACATATAACAAGATACCTAACTCACAAGAATGCTGATGCAATCCCTTATGGGAATAATCAACATCACTAATTGAGGTGGTATAAAATTACTAGCAATAAATAATAACAAGAATAATATTAATTATATGGGAAAAATAGACAATGAAAATGAAAAACAAACCTACCACCGACCAAATATGTTACCAACAGCATCCTCTCTCACGGAAAGCCCAGCGAGTCCCATCAAATTTTTTATGTACCTGTAGTTAAAATGTTGCAGACAATTTACACAAGGACACAACTAAGGTTTAAAAAAAATGATAAAATTGGAAGCACATACAAATTAAAAAACATTGTGCCAAGTTCTATGCTCCTATTAACTTCAATGAACCTGAATTATATATACAACTCAGCTCAACTAAGCCTTCATCCTTGTTGTGGTAAAAAGAAAAAGAGAACCCTTCATCACAAACTAATATGCCTATTCGTTTACTGCGATGCCTATTAGTTCAATGCTACTTATAATTGCTCCTAAAGACATTCAGCAGCAGCAGCAGTACTCAACAAAATAAAAGGATTCAGTCTTTTAATCATCGGAAAAAACAAGAAATGAAACACTATCTTTACATTACCTGCGAGCCAATACATCTTTCTCAGTGTAGAGAACCCTAGTAACTGAAGGGGAAGATGTATCCGAGAAAGTTGATAGCTCATTGATCTGAACAAACCCATTTCACAACATTAAACCTCATAAAACAAAAAACCCATCTTTAAAACAGCTCCCAACAGTCCAATAATAATAAAAACGGAGAGCTTGGGGGGATTAAAAGTACCTGTTTCTGAAGAGTTTGAGCATCAACTGAAAGTGAGTTTGATATGAAAGAGTGAGGTGGTTCATCAACTGGATACCCAGAGAAATCATGCATGGTTTTGGCTGTTGGGTCTTCATTGTGTCGGGTTAAGATAGTAGGAATGGAACAAAAGACGAAGAGAAAGACAAGAGGTAGAGAGTGAGAGTAAGAGAATCTCATAGACATCTTTTTTTTTCCTGGTTATCGGAGTACGTTGGATGGTTACTAATGTGATTAGCTTATTATATTTGGGACTATGATTGAAGGCAGAGCTGGTCGCGTGACAAGTGCAAATACGACGTTGCTGCCCTCCGTTGTTTTATGTTAAAGAGATCAATTACGGGTTTCAACTTTGAACATACTAAAAGTGGAAATCAGTAAATTCGTTTTTTATAATTATTGAATAAAAATTAAAAGTACTTAAAATAAATATTATAAATTATTAAATTGAATAAGAGTAATTATTGAATTATTGAATTTTATTTTTTAAGGACTTTAATTTTTTAATTTACGAATTGATGAGATTATATTATTAACAATGTATAAGATTTATATATTATTAGTTCATTAACTATAACACTCGAATAAAATATGAAAATTTTAAAATTAATATTCAAATATCTCTTTTATTAATATAATTTATTAAAAATAATTAATACTTACCAATATTAAAGTTAATATGATAGTTTTTCATATTTTTATTTTTTATTTAAAGTAATTTACTAAAAAGTAAATTTTTATGAAAATAAGTTGTTTTTAATATATGGAATAAAATAATTAATTAATTAATTAAAACTAATATTTAATAAATGATTAATTAAAAAATTTATTATTTAGAATTCAATTATATATATATTAAATTCAGTATGAAAAAATCACAAATTTATTATTTATATTACTTTTAATTTTTTATTTACAAAAAAAAAAATTCCAAAGATTTATCTTTAAATACACTAAATAAAAGATTGCAAGATAAGTTTCATCTTTTTTTAAAAGGAATTTATTTCAAATAGCAGCAGCACAAGAAAAGAAGGAGAAGAGAAGAGAAGGGAAGGCGGGAAGACTGACTCCATAAACACTTCTCAGAGAATTAATAAGAAATTAAACTCTCAAGCACCAAAAAATAAAAAAAAAAAAGAAATGGAAACCAGCCCAATGATGAGACATACTTGCCTGAAGCTTGAAATTCCAAGCACCGAACCGATTTTCGTCAAAGGTACCTGGTTCGATACTCACTTCGACCTCTCCATCACCGATGGCCTCCACGCTTGGGTCTCCAACGGTACCTTCCAAAGAGATTTCTTACATTTTAATAACAAAATGTTGGTTTTTTTTTTTAATTTTTGTTTTTTAAAAACAAATTGGAATTTGTGCCAGCGACGGAAGAGGAGGTGAAGGAAAGGGCGGCTCAGTGGGATCAGCCGGTAACTGAGTACATCGAATTAGTCGAACGGTATTTAGGGTTTCGACAGCCCGGTTCAGTCTACCAGTTCGTTGATGCAGGCGATGACCATAAAAGAGTTAGCTTTTCCTTTTTCTTCTAATATGGTTGATTCAGAAATTGAATTTTGTTTTTCATCCAAAAAAAAAAAAAAAGGAACTTTGTACATTTAGGGTTTCACCGAGTGTAAAATTCAATAATTGATTAATTTCAAATTTGAATTATGTGGTTATTGGGTATTTATTTATTTATTTATCGGTGCAGCTTTCATGGACTTTCGAAAAGGAAGGAACTAAGCTTGAATGGCGGTGGAAATTACAGCCATCGCCTGATAGCAGGAAGATTACAGCAGGAATTTTGGATTTTCTTATGGATGCAAACATTAGGCTAAGTGTAGGAGATTTCGCCATTGTCTTATTATCTTATTGCTTCCATTGGAAGTTAATATCTTTAATTTGTTATTGCTTGTCAATTACTATGGTTTTGTTTGATATTCTAGTGTTCTGTCGTAATGATACTGATAGGAGATAATTAAACTTTGAAATATGGGTTTTTTTCTTTTTATTTACAGGAAGAAGTTGTTAGAAAAACTCAATCTTTCGAGAAGCTGAAAGTGGAGGCTGAAAAATGTTTAGAACAAAGTGAGAGATTTACCAATGACAAGATGGAATTTGAATCAGAAATCTATGCAAAGGTGTTTTACTTAAAATACTTGACATGTTCATGCTTGTTATTATTTTACCATAAGTTTTGTATTGTTGTCGCATGTTTATGTTTGCTTTCAACATCAAATCTGCTCAAACAGTTTAGGGTCCCCAGTAACATGGCCAGACATATCTGTTAAATATGTTCTACACGTCTTCTTTGGGCTGCTAGTTTCCCTCCCATTATCATCTTTGTTGTCAATTTCTATTAGGTTTGGGACATTTGTGAGTACTGTTGCATTGTATGATATGACCATTTGATGCTACATATCTTGTTGTTAACCTGACTTACCAGATGAGAAAGAGTTAGCAACGAAGGCTACACTTTTGTTGCAATAACAGGAAGAAATGTCTTTAAGTTCTGTGTCTCTCCTTTCCAATTTTTGATTTTTACCTAGGGAAAGCGAGGATAGTTATGATGAAGCTCTATCTCAACATGGCATGTTATCTGCTAGAAAGTAGAGAAGTTATTGGAGCCATAACTTCTTTTTTTTTTCCTTTCGCTCTGTAATTTTTTAATATGTGGCATTTTTATCAATTTTTATCAATAATGAATGAATTGGTTTTCCTCCTGTCTATAGTTCCTTGGGATCTTGAATTCAAAGAAGGCAAAACTCCGGGAGTTTCGCGATCAACTATCAAAACAGGAAACTGCAGGAAAAGCTCCCGTGGATGAGGAAGAATCTACTGACAAAACTGAGAGTTACCATAGTGGAAGTGATGCTGAGGAAAGTGAAGAAGAACCTGCAAAGAATCTTACAAGCTCTTCAAAGGATGTTCCAGCAGGCAGGGGTCGGAGGCGAAAGAGAGCTAATTAGCATCTGGTTGAGTATAGAATCTGGCATGTTAAGCCAATGCTATGCCCCCCTTCCCCCTTTTCTCTGTCTTTTTCCTAATCTCTCGGAACATCTGTAAATTTTTTAGCGTCTATACCAAATCCTGATAGGTATTTTGAGTGCTAGGATGTGAGCATGGTATTTAACTTGAAATGTTGTGCAATGATGACTTGATCCTGTTTTTATGTAGAGTTATTATCACCACGTAACGGCCACTGGGGATTGAGAGCAAATTACTAGCTTTTAAAGGAAAAGTAGAAAAGTTGAACCTGAATGGTGGGGACTAGCTGAGTGGAGGAGTGGATGGTGGGGTATTGTTCTAATTCTTTGAAGTACTTGGCATAACCGTTGGAAAGAAAAAAGGCTAAGGTTGTGTTTGGTTTGCTGAATCTTACATTTTTTGAGGGAAAGTCATTTTGGGAGAAAGAAATATTGAAGCAGAATGTTTGATTTCTGAGTTTTTGTCCACTCAAGGAATGTAAAATTTTTGCGATTGGTTTACAGGAATATAAAGTTATCTAATAAAGTTTTTTATTATATTATTCTTGATAATACGTAATATTTATAATATTAATATATGAATAACATATTATTATTTTTACGTAGAGAAAATACGGGGATCATGATAAAATCGATATGAGGGTTGAAAGGGGTGATAAACTCTCTTCTAAGGGATTTCCATTGATATAGCTTTCGAAAATTTTATGTAATAATATTAAATAATATATATTAGATTTTATATGTAATAATATTAAATAAAGATATTTTATTTTTTATTTTTTTATATTTCATCAAAGATTGTATTTTTTATATAAAAAATATTTTTATTAAATTTTAAAAAATATATATTTTTATGTTTTCAATAAAAATTGCAATTTTTATATTAAAAAATGTTGTTTTTATTGAATTTTGAAAAATATATTTTTTATATTTTTAACAAAAATTACAATTTTATTTTAAAAGCATTGTCTTTATTAAATTATGAAAAATATATATTTTCATGTTTTTAGTAAATATTATGTTTTTATTTTACAAACGGCTTTTCAATAAATAATGTGTTTTTATATTTTAAAACATCGTTTTTGTTGAATTTTAGAAATTTTTTATATTTTCAACAAAAATTATATTTTTATTTTAGAATCATTATTTTTTTAATTTTAAAAATTTTTTTTTTCATATTTTCAATAAAAATTACTTTTTTTGTCTTAAAATGTTGTTTTTTAATAAATATTATGTTTTCTATTTTAGAAACGTCACTTTTGTTCAATTTTAAAAAATATTGTTTTCATATTTTTATAAGAGATTGAGTTTTGTATTTTTAATACATCATTTTTGTTGAATTATGTAAAATATATATTTTTTTATGTTTTCAAAAAAAATTATGTTTTATATCTTAAAAACATTATTAATTCTAGGTAATCAATTACTACAGTTATTAATAATTACATTTTTTGTTATTGAAAACATAATTATTGATATAGAGAAATATAAATAAAAATTTAATTTTATCAATTACTATGTTTTTTACATACAAAATATTGTTTAAAAGCAAAATAAATATGATATTATATTGACTCTACCAACATAAGCTATGTTTTTATATAAAGAAATTATGTTTTATTAATTATTACGTTTTCATGCTAAAAAAACATTGTTGATATTGAAAATATAAATTTTATTTTGTTATTTTCTACTATCAATTATATTTCATATGTTAAAAATATAAAATTTTTTAAATTATAAAAAATATTTCAAAATTTTAATTTTGAAATAATTTACTATATTTTTTTCAATTGTTGTTTTTATCATAATTAATTTTTTCATAATATATTATAACATATGATTACGTTTTTAATATAATAGCGTTGTGTAAATGATTTATTAAAATTTTATTTTATACATCATTCAACTATGTTTATAATTTAAAATTGTTATTTTTCTGAAACTTTATCAATCGAAAATAAATATTTAAATTATAAAAATTCAAATACACATGAATTTTACCAAATATCCAATCATATGGCTAGAAATGCAACTTTATCTAATCATGTGGTTAGAAATGTAATTTTGCATGTCAACATAAATCTTGATTTATCATCCAATTATGTTAATTTCCAATAGAAAAATAGACCGTAAAAAATTATTATTAAGATCAAAAGTAAAACAAATTTTACATTCCTTCTTGAATCTTAAAAAACTTCAAGAAGAGATAAATTCATAATTCAGTGTTATTAGTTTCCTTTTTTTTTTATATTATTGAGAATCTTAAAATCCTTAAAGAATCAAATTTCTTGAACTAAATTAAAAAATTAAATTATTAAAAGTAAAATTTTAACCAATAATTTAACTTTCCACCGTTCCAAACATCCCCCAAAAACATGATTTACTACATTAACCTGGACGACTTTTTTATAGCTGAATAACAAGGACAACTGCTTAAGAAAGTCAAATAGACCCCCGCCTGAAAGAAATAAGAATATGAAATTATAGCATCATGTAAAATTTAGAAGTAGCATTTCCCACTTAATTTGAAGTTGCTAAAAATAGATTAAAACAAACAATGAGTGCTAAAAGAATTATTATCCTCTAATAATGTACTGAGAGCATAAACTCAATGACCTTGGAAGGATCACTTTTGCTTCACATCGGCATTCATGTTACAAGAAACAACTTTTTTTTCAGATAACATCAGGAAGTGACTCGAGAGCTGCACGACATTGTTCATCCTCCATGGCAAGGCGTAGCAGCATTGAAGTGACTGCTTCATCAGGCGAAAAGTTCCTTCTACGCATTTCTTCCAAACGTTTCATTGCTTTTTCAACCTCCATTTCCCGTAAAAGCCCATGGATAACGATGTTAAAGGAGATGGAATCTGGTAAGCAACCTTTATCTTCCATTTCCATGAGCAATTTATTAGCCTCCAGTGACATACTTTTCTTGCAGAGGCCGCTAAGCATTATGTTATGTACTACAACATCAGGAACCAAACCTTTCTCAGAGATTTCAGTAAACTTTTTCCTAGCTTCTTCCAATCTGCCAGCTTTACACATTCCATCAATAAGTATGCTGAAATGCTCAATACTGGGTTTGTCCTTTGTAATTTCAAGGGAATTAAAAAGATCAATTGCCTCCTCAATGTGGCCATTTTTGCATAGCCCATGCAACATGATAGTATATGTAGATAACATTGGAAATTGACAGTAAACATGCATCTCTTTGAATATCTTTTGTGCTTCGCTCAGTTGCCCCGCCTGGCAAAGCACTCCTATAAGTGTGTTGTAAGTCACTGTAGTGGGCTTAATTCCTTTGTCATGCATTTTTTGAAAGAGTTGAAAAGCTTCATCAATCTTCCTACTCTTGCAATAGCCATTAATCATTATATTGTAGCTAAAATCATCAAGGTCAAGACCTTGATCAGCTATCGAACCAAATAGCTTGGTTGCCTCATCTAACTGACCTGTTAAACATAATCCACTCAAGAGTGAATTATAAGTTTGTATATCTGGCTTCTTCCTCTGTCGAATCATCAGATCAAGCATTCCCTGTGCTTCTCCGGTCTTTCCCTCTTTGCATAGACAATCTATCAAAATTGTGAAGGTTACTACATCTGGAGATAGCCCCTTTCCAACCATCCAATTGAAAATTTTCATAGCTTCTTCCCACATTCCCAATTGGCAAAAACCATGAATCAAAGAGTTATACATGACCAAATCTGCAGTGAGTCCTTGACTAACCATTTCGTCGAAAAAACTAACAGCTTCTTTCAACCTACCTAAACGACACAACCCGTTAATCAAAGAACCATAGACAACAACATCAGGGCTAATTTGTTTTGAAACCATTTCTGAAAACAAACTCACTGCCTCATCAACCCTCCCATCCTTACAAAAAGCATCAATAACCATACTAAACGTCACCAAAGTCCCTTGACAGTTACTCTTTTCCATTTTCTTATGCAATTCAAGAGCCATAACCGGCTTGTGAATAGTACAAAGTCCATTAATAAGAATCCCATATATAACACCATCCCCTCGAAACCCTCTTTCACACATTTTATCAAAAACTTGAACTGCATCTAAAACCTTACCATCCGCACACATACCCTTCAACAAGATACTAACGGTAACTAAATCTGGCTCGAATCCCCTCTTTATAATCTCACCAAGAACACAATACCCAGAACTTATTTTCTTTAATTGACAGCAACAATTCATCAAAATGCTTAAAATATACGAACTTGGCTTAATTCCTTCATAATTCAACTTCCTATACATTGAAAACACATCTGAATTGCATTTAAGCTTTGAAACTGAACCGAATACAAAATTAAACGTTTCAATCAATGGGAAAGGTTCAGTTGTTATTAACCTGTCAAAGTAAGTAAGTGCAACATTGAGGGTGATTTTACCTGATTTACATTGACGTCTGACAAAATACTCAAACTCTTTTGGACTCAAAAGGTGGCTTTTTTCTGGGTTTTGAAATCTGGGTTTGGGTTTTGCTGAAGAGTTTTGAAGAGGATCTTTGGTGAATAGAGAGGAAAGGGAGCTAAGGGATTTGGTTGTTCCTTGAACCGCATGGTTCGAATAAGCTTTACTCTTGAGCAACATGAACACGAGACTTGTCCCCGTGAATAACAAAAACAGGAAAGGAAGGGGTTTTGACAACGAGTTGAGTTGAAAACTGAAAAAAAAAAAAAATTCAAGTATGTTTATTCGACAAACTTTTCTTCAAACTTCAGAAAGAAAGAAAAACTGGCCCTCGTTCCCGCTTGATGGCATGGTGTGCTACACATGTCCCAGTTCGAGGGCTGATGAGAGAGAAGAGAGAGAAAGACAGTGAAGCAAAGCAAAAATGAAAACGGTTTGGCTGAGGCTCAGAGCCCTGCTCACTGTGGGAGTACATTCATTTTCTTTTTTAGGTATTTTTGTGTAGGCTTCGCTTATACTGGCAAAACCGCCGGCTGCGCCTTGGTTACAAAAATTGTTTTATTTGGATGAAAATACAAATTATATAAAGTTTTTATTTAATAATAAAATAAATATTTTTTAGTATTTTTTTGTTTTTAATTTTTTGGATAATATAAATTTTAGAAAAAATAAAAATATTATGCTCGAATTGTTACTCAATTGTAATTAAATAAGAATCGATTTCTATTTTAAATCAAAGAGACTACTTAAAAAATTATATAAATTAAATCAAAATTCAATAATATATACATGACAATCTAAATTATTAATATAAGATTTACTTATTACCAACATTTTTCAATTATTAAATTCAAAACCATCTACTTATAAAATCAAAATCTACTAATATCATCACCTGTTAAACTTAAATTTTTTAAGAAAACAATCAATAATTTTAATATGGTAGGTGAAACATTACTATAATTTTGGCCAATAATGATAAGAGGATATTTTTATAATTATGATTGTAGGAGTATTATAATAATTTTGATTAATTATAATAAAATATATATTTTAATACTTATGTTAAGTGAGATACTATAATAATTTTAACTAATTATAAAAGTAGAGATATTACGGTCGATTTAGATATGTGTCATTCAATTGTTAAGCAATTAAATGGGTATCATGATTATTTGCAAAGGGATCACTTTTATATAATAGTATGGATGTTAAAATTTAATACATAATTATAAAGCAATAAAAGGGTATTTTGTAATTATAATAAATAGGTATTATAGTAATTTTAGCAAATGAAATATTAAGAGTATTTTCGTAATTATGGTAGGAGAAATATTACAATACTTTTAGCAAATGATGATAGGAAAGCGTTTTTGTAATTATGGTTGTAAGGGCATTACATTAACTTTGACCGATTATGGTAAAAGGGGTATTTTAGTGAATATAATAAAAGTAGTATTATAGTAATTCTAGTTAATTATAAAAATATGGGTACTACAATCAATTTAGATGTATGTAATGCAATAGCCAAGTAATTAAAAAGGTATTATGATTATTTCTAAAGAGATTAATTTCATATTATTATATGAATATTAAAATTTAATGCATAACTATGAAGAAATCAAAAGGGCATTTTGTAATTATATTGAAAGAAAATTGTAATAATTTTGACCTATTATAATATAAGAAGTATTTTCGTAATTATGGTAGGAGAGACATTTTATGAAACAATTAAAAGGGCATCTTTTGCAATTATAATTAGAAGGTATTGTAGTAATTTAAATTAATTATAATATGAAAGGGTATTTTTGTACTTATGGTAAGAGAGTATTTTTGTAACTATGGTTAGAGTGTATCAAAGTAATTTTGACAAATAATAACATGATGGGGTATTTATGTAATTATGGTAGAAAGATATTTTTATAATTATGATTGTAGGGGCATTAAAGTAACATTGAGCAATTATGGTAAGAAAGATATTTAAATAATTATGTTAAGAGAGGTAGTATAATAATTTTATTTAATTATAGAAAGAAGGGCATTATAGTTTATTTAGATGCATATAATTCAATTGTCAAGTAATTAAAAGGGCATTATGATCATTTTAAAGGAGATTGATTTTATATTATTATATGAATGTTAGAATTTAGTGAGCAATTATGAAACAATTAAAAGGATAATTTCATAATATACTTAAAGAGTATTATAGTAATTTTAGTCAATTATAACATGAAGATATTTTCGTAATTATAGTGAAAGGGCATTTTTATAATTATAGTTAGAAGATATAATAGTAATCTGGATCAATTATAATAGAGGGGATATTTTCGTAAAGTAGCCCATATTAAAAAGGTCAAAATATAACAAACTATTAAATATTAAAAAAAAGTCAATAGTAAAAAAGAAAAAAATAAAATTACTTGACATGTGGTATATCTATTATATAAAGTGGGTTTAACAAAAAGATTTAAATCAAAAATTAATTTTCAATTACGTAAAATATAAAAAAAAAATTAAAAGAAACATATTGTATACCTTTAATAGAAAATGAGTTTCAAAATAAAATTAAAAAAAATAAATTTTGTTTAAAATTTTAAAAAAATAAAAAAATTTGATATAAGTGAACCCCAAAAAATATATATTTTTTAAAATATTAAAAATCAAAAAATCAAAAGATAAATTTAAAAATATGGACCTTAAACCTTTTTAAAATTAAAAAAACTTATGAGTCTACCAATTTTTAAAAAAAAAAAGGTTGAAAAAAATACCCCTTAAAAAAATGTAGGCTGAGTCCCACACCATTTAAAAAAAATTTTAAAAAAGGTGAGATCCACTTTAAGAAAAAAAAAAGCAATTAGTTGAAAAAAAAATTAGGTCCCATACCTTTAAAAAAAAAAAAAGATCTCACACTCTTTTAAAAAAAATTTTAGCAAAAAAAAAGGGATAAAAAAAAAAATAAATAAAGTGACATGTGGATTTTAGAGTAAAAATCAAACGACAACATTTATATATGGGATTACTTAGATTTAAAACTAAGTGTCCATGTTCATCTCCACTACTAGCACATTCAATTTTTTTAATTTCATAAATTCAAAGAGCTAGCCTTTTATACCTAATCATTCTTATATGTATTGGATATATTGCATCCATTTTTATGCTCCAAAGGGAAGGGATAAAGAAGAAGAAGATAATGAAATGAGGATGACTAAATGGAGTTTATATAGGGATATATGCCAATGAAGCTGATTTTATATCCATCTACATGGAGTTTCTATATGGCAACTCAAAATAATCAAAATGCATTTTAAAAGGAAAGCTATGAAGTTGAAATTGAAGGGTGGGGGGTTTTCTATGAGCAGATATGATATGAAAACTAGAAAACATATCTATGAGAAAAATCTCTCCCAACTTATAGAGAGGGACAAAAACAAAGCTTAAATATGTGCATTAGCAAATGAAACATCAAAACCATAAATTCTAATAAGAAAATACAACACAAAACATATATCATAAATTTTATAGATACATATATGAACAATAAAATTTGCAAATTAATGAACATGATTAGGTAATCAAAAGTAGATGGGTATATAAGGAATGATTAGAATTCTAGATTTAAAAAAAAAAAAAAGAACTTGTCAATTCCGAAAGCCAAAATAATTGAAGTCTGTAGCAAAAATATTGCATTGAAATGACATGAAGAGGGAAAGATAAAGAGATACAAATGCAAGTGAAATGAACTAATATAACATCTTTTAAATTTTTGTTGGATTTATCCCCTTTTTTGTACTAGATCATTTTAAAATTAAGCTTTTAAATTTTTATTTATTATTATTATTTATTTCTTATGATATCTTTTTTTTCTTCTTTTTTTTTTATTTTTCTTCCTTTTATTCCAAAGTTACAATGCATTCAATGCACCAAAAATCTCTACTGAAATTTTTAGCCTTTTTACCAGACTCCCAGCCAACTTCTATGCTTAATTTTAAAAATGAAACTTCGACAACAAAGTCACCGATGAATCTAAAAAAAAATCATCAACAATCGTAGAAAATTTGAGATTTGATTTGCAAATTGGCTTTATAAATAGAGCCAAGATATAAAAGGGAAAACCTAGAAGACAGTGAAAAGAAAACCTTGTGAAATGAAAACAAAATAAAAATCTTTTAAAAATTAAAAGCTTATTGCCAAATTAAAATCCTTCGTTTTTTAAGATTATCACCACCAAAGTAAAAAAAAACATAATACACATCCTTTAGAACGAAGAGAAGCAATGCTAAACCAAAAAAAAAAGAAACAAACAAGAAAAATAATTTGACTAAAACTTTAAACCTTGATCTATGCTATTTAGAGGTCTTTTTTTTTCAAAAAATAGAGGCCGAATCTATGTTTAGGGGTTGAAAATAGTTAGAGAAGAATTTTTGAGAATTGTTCAACCATCGAACACAACGATCGATGGTGACATCAATGACGATGATAGAATGATACGAGCAACTGACTTTTAGAGAGAAAAGAATGGCCTATGAGAAAGAGGTAATGGGAGAGATGAAGAAGGGAGAAAATGAAATATACAAAAATTTGACTTTTATGGTTGAGAAAAAAAAAAGCAAAACGATACAATTTTGGGCTAAAAATCTAAACACCGACTCAAAACCCGACCTTAGATCGCTGCACTAAACCTAAAAACCCATCCTTTTTAAGCTAAATAGGCTAGATCAGCTTAAATCGGATTGGATTACAATGAATCAACCTAAAATGTTCCAAATTGCTCTAAACCACACCGAACTGTGCTGAATCGATTGTACCTTTCTGAATCGATTGAAACACATAGAACTAACCGAATCTCCCTTGGACTATTGATCATGTTGATTAGGGGCATTTTGATATTTTCATTATATTTTTTATTTTTGCATATTTTTCACTCAATTTTTTATATATTTAATATTTTTATTTATTTGTGTGAACTCTATTAGGAAAAAGAAAATAAATTTGGAAAAATGCTGAGGAAAAAGTTCTTTAGAATAAATTTTAAAACTATTTAAGAAAACGTTGAATTATTAATTTTTCCTAAAATATTTTTTGAAAATAGAAATGAAAAAACAAAAAATTTGTTTTCTAAAACTAGGCTAAGGAAAAGTGAAAATATTAATTTTTCTTAAATTATTTAAGAATAAAAATAAAAAAGTTAAATATAAACAAAATAAACTTTAAAAAAATGCTAAAAAAAAAAATTAAAATTTCAATTTTTTCTTAAAATGAAAATTTGAAAGTATTTAGAAAAAAGTTAAAATATCAATTTTCCTCAAATTCTTCAAGAATAAAAATAAAATAAAATATAAAATTAATATAAAATTTTTCTTATAATAATAATAAAAAAAAAACAATGTCTAGAAAAAATGTTTGAATAAAAAAATTTAAAATATTAATTTTTCCTAAAAATGAAAAATAAATTTTTGGATATTCTAAGAATGAAATTATTAGAAAGTTGAAATAGCAATTTTTACATAAATTTATAAGGAAGATATTATTTTCCAAATATTGCTAAAATATTAGAGTATTTAAAAAATTATTCAGTATTAACGATTCTAATAAGCAAATAACTAATTAATTTTTTTTTTTTAAAATCTGACGACGAAACCACTTTAAAAATATTAATAGATATCTTGAATACTTTTGAGATAAAAAAATATTCTTGAATTTTTGTTAAAATATTAAAATAATTTAAGAATAATTTTCAATTTTAAATTCTTTTAAAGAATATTTTAAAAATTTTTGTTAGATTTTATAGATAACACAAAATCAATTAATACCATATTCAGCCAACTACTATAAAGATGCTATAACTTTTTTTTATATATAATCGTATTATCGAACCTAACTTTTGATTCATAGACCAAAAGATTTTTTTAAAAAAATTTTAATTAATTTTAAGATTTATTTAAAGTTAAAATGGTGATCAATCACACCTATAAAAATTAGTGATGACTCATTACTTCTATGTCTAACGATTAAATCTTCATACCGATACATTATGACACATTATATGTACAAAAAATATAGTTAATACAAGATTCTGAAGTTGTTAAAAACCAAGGAAAAATAATGTCCAGATCAAACGGCCAATGCTGAAAGAATTGACTGATAATCGTACAGAGACATGTTAATTGTGTTGGGGCATCTTACTTAACAACTTTGGAGGATTTTTTTTGCTTCAAATTGCACAGATTTTTACTTAGGAAAAATTTCCTGTTGGAGAGCATCTGGAACTGGAAGCGACGCAAGCCTCGCACAACATTGTGAGTCCCCCGCAGCGAGGTGTAGTAACATTGAAGTGACTGCTTGATTTGGTGCAAAATTTCTCCTGCGCATTTCTTCTAGAAGATTCATAGCTTTGTGAATGTTCTTTTCTCGAAGAAAACCTTGGATGATGATGTTAAAGGAAATGGAATCAGGCAAGCAACCATTTTCTTCCATTTCAATGAGCAATTTATCAGCCTCAAGTAACATCCCCTTCTTGCAAAGACCATTGATCATTATGTTATATGTTACAACATCAGGAACAAACCCTTTTTCTGACATTTCATTGAACATATTCCTTGCTTCTTCCAATCTTCCTGTTCTGCACATTCCGTAAATAAGTATACTGTATAGCTCAATACTAGATTTGTACTTGGTACTTTCAAGGGATTGAAAAAGAGCTATTGCCTCATCAATGTGACCATTTTTGCATAGTCCATCCAGAATTACAACGTATGTAGAAAATATTGGAGATTGACCACAAACATGAATCTCATCGAACATCTTTTTTGCTGTCTTCACTCTCCCTGCCTGGCAAAGTGCTCCTATAAGTGTGTTGTAGGTTACTGCATCGGGCTTACAACCCTGGAAGTGCATTTCCTGAAAAAGCTGGAAAGCTTCATCAATCTTCAAACTCTTGCAATAGCCATTAATTATAATATTGTAGCTAATAACATTGAGCCCAATCCCTTGATCTGCAATCAACCCAAAAAGCTTGGCTGCGTCATCTAGCTGACCTGCCATACATAATCCATTAATTAAGGAATTATATGTAAATAAGGTTGGCTCCACCCCTTTTTGTCTCATGAGTGCAAATATTTCATGAGCTTTTCCCACCTTCCCCTTTTTGCACAGGCAATTTATCAAAGTCGTGAAGGTTATTACATCTGGAGAAATTCCTACTCCAACCATCTGGTCAAAAATTCTTGTGGCATC